TTAAGAATATAAACTTCGCTTGTGGTTCTCTTTTATTGCATGCATGCGCTTCTAAGATCAAAGGATGTATAGTGTGAAAAGTTAACTAGTTGAACAATCGTATTTCTGGGACTTGCCGCGGATGTTTTCAAACAGATTATTAGACCTCCATTCAGCGATAAACGGTTGATTGTGCAATGAGAAGCGTTATGTGCAAATGAACAACGAACAACAATACAATTATGTCTGTGTAAAACTCTCAGTAATAAAAGTGTACATAAATTTTGGGAGCCATGCGTTAACGCGCGTAGTAACAGAGGTAGCGCTTTATCGAAGAGCGCAATAGCGAGGGATCACTGTATATGGAAATAGCCGCCGGAATCTCAGGACTGGCCGGAATAGCAATAAAATGTATTTCTCGTAAGTTGCAAAAGAAAGCATTAAAACATGATAATATTCGGATACTTGCCGAAGAAAAGTTGAACAGCATTGAGGATCATATTTCAACAGCACTGGCTGATTGTAAGATATCAGAGGAGGAGTTTCGTTTAGTGCTGTCAGAACTCAACCAAATACAACGTAATGAAGCAGGTGATTCGATCAAATTTTCGTAAGACCTGTGGTATTAGCGAAGATGAGAAAAAAAAGTTCATAGAACAGGGGAGACAACAAGCACGTCAATTATTCCGTGCCAAAACCAAAGAACTGGTTGGAGATAAAAAATAGATTGTTTACTATCGTTGGATCACATTTAAACGAATGCTTACATAAGTATATAATGATGGAGAATGACAAGCCAATCAAATAGTGAGAATTACCACAGGGTTTATATTATATCAGTGATGTCAAACCAACCCAATACGGTCATCAATTGTTTTCTTTCCAATTTCGAAAAAGAGTCTGGTCTCCTTGTAAAATGAATGAAAAACTTAAAAATGTTGAATATCACTTTGTTCAAAATAATGGTATGTGTAAAAATAATAGAGAATATTTTCATTACAATTTAGTTTAGAGTCATGACGATCGTTGAATTGCATCATCATTTTTCCATAAAAAGTTCCCTCTGTCGTAGCAGTATAAGTATATAAATCTGGCTCCAGTAGAAGTGGTCCAGAACTGTCATTGTCTATACTACTCAGGGTATTCATTGCTATGTACCGTATTGACATTTAACCCTCTTGGTGCCATGGGACCATATATGATCCCTAACTTTTCACACCCGCATAGTGCCAAGGGACCATATATGCCCTTTTTAAACCGTGAATTTAGATATCAAACACTGAGTGCACAAAGTCAAAATTATAACCATCATCACCCCAATCATCTTAGCTGTAACATCGTGTAACTCATACTTTATACAATGCTACAGATTACGAAATATGGAGAGATTAGTAAAGTGGCTACCGCGCTTCTCAGCCCTTCTCTGCCATGTTTGAACACCAAGAGAATGACGGCAAATTTTGATTATGCACCCATGTCACCTACACGTAAATATTTTCAGACAAAATCCTTGTTCATAAGTTCATAAGTGAGTGAGTGAGTGAGTGAGTAAGTATGGTTTTACGCCGCTTTTAGCAATATTCCAGCAATATCATGGTGGGGGACACCAGAAATGGGCTTCACACATTGTACCCATGTCGGGAATCTAACCCGGGTCTTCGGCGTGACGAGCGAACGCTTTAACCACTAGGCTACCCGACCGCCCCTTTGTTCATAAGAAATTATATGACCAGTGTGGTCAGAAAGACATGTTTTTCACAACTGTATACTTATTCACGCAAATAAATTTCTGTTCACTCCTTTACGAACAAGTTTATTTACATGTTTTGTATATTTTTATCGACTATCGGTAATGGCGGAACGGTCGGTACACATGAGAAAACGACAGTGTATTTTTCCATTACATTTATGACGTTAATTGAATGAAATTATGACCATCATCACCCGAATCATCTCAGCGTTAATATCGTGTAGTAAAGTGGTTACTGTGCTTCTCGATTTTTTTCTGCCATGTTGAACTTCATGCGAATGAAGGCATTTTTTTTATATGCACCCATGTCACATACACGTAACTATTATTATATCAGACAGCCAATTTGAAAAAGAAATCTGATCGGACTGGTCAGAAAGATTTACTTGTCCCCACTGTACAGTTATTGGGGTAAGAGTACTAACGTTTAGACGGCCAAGGAAGTTTTTTGTTCAAGTATTGCATATGTTTATCAACTGTGTGTCATGGCGATTTAGCACGGCGCTAGAGACAAAATGACAGTGCAGATTGTCTATTTGTTTATGATGCTGATTTACAGAAAATATTCAAATCAAAGATATGGAAAGATAGCTAATCGTTAGTATTAAGGTGGTAAAGTGGATATTTATGGACAGGAAGTTCATGACCAAAACCTAAGCATTGAATGGCCAAGCCCGAAGTGTTCGACAAGACACATTCGCATCATATCTGTGCTGCGATTTCTTGTCTACCGGTTGTCCTACATGCTCGCCCGTTCAGACAAGTAACTGCTACTTTTTTCATATGAAATGACCAAGAGTCATCCGTGATTGCTCGAACTACCTGACCATGTGAGTGACTTGCCCTAACTGTTCTGATATGTCAGCAATGAATAAACTAATTTTATTTCGTTACAATCTGCAATTTTATTCGAATAGGCTTATAGACGGTCAGTGATTTCCTGCCGCTGTGAATTTGTCGTCTGGACAGGTGTGCGTCACATGAAACAGCTGATCTAATGTTGTGGTAGTATAATGGATACACGTGGTTTCATTTTCCAAATAACAATATTCTCTTTGACTGAACTAGAAAGCATATCTAGTACATCACAACTTAAAAATTTGTACAGCGACCGACGAGTGAATGAGACTGCTTATCATTTGACTAAAAGTGTTAGAATATTTGGCACAGTTTTCTAATTTTGGTATGTTGACATGTGCTTTTCATATCTGTTTGAAGGCTTGATATTCCAAAAAAATAATGTACATTTCGTTGAGTAAGGGAATGTATTTTATTTACAGTGATAGCTGTCAAAATGGATCCAATATTAAACAACCTAGATTTTTCATATTTTAGCTTCTATCTATTAGAATCTCGAATGGTTCAATTTATAACATCAACAGTAAAAGTAATTAGATCTACTCACAATATATAGATAATCGATTTCTGAAAGACAAAATGTTTTCAGTGTAAATGTGATTTCGTTTTGATGCTTTATATAGTTTTATTTATGTCTTTTTTCACTTGGCATTATCTAAATTACCAAATACTTCGATCAGTGACATAGTAGTAATTACTTTGTTTTGTATCATTAGTATGAAATAGATTTCTTTTTAAATAAATATTTGTCTAAGAGCAAAATCAAAGCATTCTTGTAGTTATTTCTTCACCATTTTAATCTGTATCTTCCCTCCAAGCTGTAGTTTAGCTAGGCCAAAATTAAGAAAAAAAGGAAAGACATAACAACTGAAAACCATTCACTAGTATATTAAAGATTTTGCTGGTTAAATTTTCGAAGTTCAATACCAAGAATATATTTTTCCTTTTATGACAAATAATTCCATTACTTTCATTGACCTACGATCATTATCTATTTCAAACTTTTCCTTTAGTAGAATGGGATGGAATGAGAAACAAGTGGAAATAAACTGTCACGTAAGTCCTTAAATGTACATGTACATACCTATAGCTAGGTGTAAATACACTTCTAAAGTCGTATCTATAAATCAAATGAATAAATGAAAGAAAAAGTGGTATTTCATGGACTGGCCATACAAGTCTATTTTGAGCAAAGGTCTAAGTAAGGCAGCCAAGTGCGAAATACTAGCTGAGACGAGGATGTATGTTTTCTGGTGGTCATAGTGAAACAATGTCATATGGGGCCCGAGTTGACAGTGATCGAAAATAGATTTAAAAAAAATATTTGCTGCCAATGAAAACGTTTCAACAATTTTGATTGAATCTACATGTACTTACTCTTGGGTGGTATTACGTTAGTATAATCTTGTTAATTATTAAGAAATAATAATGATGCCCGATATTGAGCGATGTCAATTTGAGTATTGTTAGGGCTGTTGAGCGATCTTTCACATTTTGTCCTTTGAAAATGTACGATGTCAATTACCGCGAAGTTGTTTTTATCACTAATAAAAGCACGGTCATTGAAACATACATGGACGTAACCGGGATTTCTTCAAGATATACATTCCAAACTGTCATTCGTTTTGTGACTTAATCTTTGAAACAGTCTGCATATGAATTAATCACGACCACTTCCGTCAATTTTGTTTTGACGTCAAAAACACGCACAATTTCATCGGGATTTTTTATCGGTAAATATAACTCACGGAAAATTCTCAGTGAATGTGTATTTCAACATAAATGTCATATGTCTATCACTGTTAGGACATGTACTTGCCAATGATATGAATTATTGGACAATTAGATTTCAAACAAGGGCGCTTACTTGACTTTGCTTGCCATATTCGGGTGCTTCCATATTACGATTAATGTAGAAAAGTAGGAAACTTATAATACCAGCACTTTTATCGATGGCTAGGCTGTAGGCAGTGCATAGATCTTTTTGATTTGGTGACTTTAGATACTGAGGGAAAGACAATCAACTCGAGTTGCATGTTATACAATTTGGTTACACTGTGTGAAGAAATAAAGACGTTGTAACACTTTTGATACAATGTATACGTTTTTGAAACAGCGACGTCATCACAGTGCGGCACTGAGCGGTATGCAGGCTGGCTGACGTCCAGGCACCATGAGGGTAATAGACTATTCCCGATTTTGAGCTTATTTGCAATTCATCTTCCTCATTTGGAGCCAAACGGACTGTAAGCTGCATTGTTGACAAATCGACCATCGAAAATAGGATACGGCCATATGTCTGACAGTAAACAGTAACCAGTCTAGAATGTAGTCAAAACATCATTAATATAGCCAGACTCAGTAACTCCCGAGTCTAACCCAACACAACAAACCAAAAGCGCTTTATATTCACCTGTTCACGAAATAGTCACAGACTTTCCATACAGACAACACGTTGGACTGACACTGAAGCTTACACTTTTCAAAGGTGTGTACAGAGAACTCTTCTGCATATGAGGTAAAGATTATTTTGGATTAAAACTGCTCCTTGCCAAAACGGTCCCATATTTCGCTTGAGGAAACGGCCCCATTCACTGGCGAAACGGCTATGTGAGTGAGAGCCTCTTGAAGAAAGGATGATTTGTTTTACCCCCTCTCTATATTTCAATCATTCATAAAATAGCATCATGATCATGATCTAAATTTATCGTCGTATATGTCACAAACGGGTTATAGCGAAAACGTCACCTCAGCAAAACGTCACCAGGCGAAAACGGCACCGATTGGCGAAAACGGCACCTCGACTCAAGCGAAAACGGCACCTCGACTCGAGCGAAAACGGCACCTTATTTTTTTTACCTTGGTCAAATAAATGATATTAAACTTACACTGTAACTTGCAAAGGCCAATAATTGTGAGATGTTAAAACAAGTTTACATTAGAAATTAGCCTCTGCTCCAACTATAATCCAACTTAGCTTCTATTATATGGTCTCTGCTTATACGCAACTCAACGTATGGTGAAAACATAACATGCTTTGACGAAAGATAATAGAAATTATACTCACATCGTCTCTTACAAACACAAATAATTGTGAAATAAAACAAATAAGAAATTAGCCCCCTACTCCAATTTACTCACCGACTTTTATTCACTATACGCTTTGATGTCAGTTTCCAGTCAGAAGATGCTGAAGAAATGAGAGTACCAAACCTATCTGAAATTCACATTACGGCTTCAGATGTACCCTATACATCAAATACCATGTAAATAAACCATATATATTACCACAAAAATCGTTGTTATCGTTATTAAAAATAGAGGTGCCGTTTTCGCCCGACACATAGTAGCCGTTTTCGCCAAATGCGGTGCCGTTTTCGCCAGAGAAATCGGTGACGTTTTGCTGAGGTGCGGTTTTAGCCTGCACACTATATATTTAGATATATTTAGATCTAGCTGAAGTACAGATCATTCAAAAAACCATCGCCATGTTTTTAACAAGTAAAATATCGCTGACACTACAGTACGCAAATGTGTTACCTTTAAAGCTCACTGACCTTATTATAAATGGTTTTGGCTTCTGTATGGCCAAATCAATCACAATAAAATGGCGAAAACAGTCCTATGTTAAATGTATTATGTTAACAAAAATGAAATGGGCATAATTATTGAATTGAGTGGGTTTTAGCAAATACGTATATATGCGTCTTTGGTTTTAGTAATATTCCAGCAAAATCACGGCGGGGGACACCAGAATGTGGCTTCACACATTGTACCCATGTCGGGAATCGAACTCGGGTCTTCGGTGTGACGGGCGAAGGCTTTAACCACTAGACTACCCGACCACCCTCATATTTATTGATACAATGCAAGTTCTGTTATTCTAAAAATGCAATGCTATGCGTATTCTTCCCCGCCCCGAAGGCGTGGAAGTATACGGGAACGGTTAATTGGGTAGCATGTACGTCGACATGTTGGTTTATTTGAAATTTCAAGCCACGCATTTACCGAAACGAAACATACAAATCATGTGCGTGGAATCTTGATGCTATTCTTTTCCAGCAATAAGAGATACTTCAAAATCGTCTTGCTATTCTGAGACTTAGTCATGTTTCGTAATGCAGATAACCCATGAAATGTATTCATTTTGTTTTTAAAAGAGCTAAAAATATTTAGAGGAAATATATATCTCATTTCGTTAAGTTAAAGGGGCACTGATCTAACGCAATTCCCCGGGACTGGTTGTTGCCTTTGTTATTGTTTTTTCCCAGTGAGTACCCGGATGTATAGCAGAAATCTAGACTAGTTCGCGACCTCTGCTGCGCCATTCGTAAGCGCATTAGTCACTTTTATGGGTAGTAATTAGGGCGTATGGTCACATTGATCAACAAAATCAAATACAGTTTTCGAGATAATAAGGAAATGTAGGTATCTTTGTGAATAGCATCGGTAATGGTGTCGAAGTTTTGATAAGTCACTTGCTTGGTAATTTTGTGATTTTCGTTTACACTATTTTGACTTGCAAAACAAAGTATATATTTCACCTGAGCATATGCTTTTTTATAGTGTGTATATTTTTTTACTGTCAAATGTGTAACAAATTTATTAAACGTCTAAATATTCAGTTATTTTACAAAGTGACTGAAAAACATTTCCATCTTTATTATTATGACAACGAATTCCAAACATTTTGATGTTTAATGTCATCACCAAGAGACTGAAAATGTAACGTTGAAAAGTACATTTCTAAGTTGTTTGGCTTTTAATCCTACATAATAATCTGTTGTGATGTTTGTAGGCCCTTTTGATCGTCTTGATCAATCTGGACAGATTTTTTAGTCAAAATGACTGAAATATTTACACATTTTATAAATTGCCTGAGAGAATCACATTTTACAAACTGACTGTAATGTTTACACGCTTACAAAGGAAAAGACCTGTGACAACAACGTCTATCGCGCATTGAAGAATTTCCCAACCAAGACGTAGAGAAACAAGAACGAATCGGTTCAAATGAAGGAAAACAAAATGCAGATATCATAATTACAACCTACCAAATTTATGTGTATAAGTTTTAGGCAGCTTCCTTGTTCGAGGAATGTATCCGTGAATATCCACACAAAGGAACAATATCCCACTCGTCTGCAGCTGTACAAAGAAACTTATTCGATGTCACGTGTCTCAGTAACAATCAAATATTTTAAAAGCTATATATCGTTTCGGGATATTATAACCCGTGTTCGTTTCTCAACTGATCGCTTGGATTGTTTCAGGTGTTTTACATAGGTGTCAAGTCTCAGTGGTCGGCTGAGAAAGCCCACGTGACAACTATTTTCATAGCGTCCACGGTTCCTAAAAATTCCATTGAGTGATAGATAACAATGATCAATCAATCAACGTATTATCAGTTAACCCTTTGAACAAAGTATGTTGTTTTTACATCGGCACTTCGCGCCATGATATGAGTGTATTCCCTTTGTTTTAGTAAACCTAGACATGTAAACACTCACTCTTGACATATCCACTGTGCAAGATAACAGTGATTAATCAATCAACGTATTTTCTGTTAATCCTTTGATGACTAGAACGATCCGTTGATTTACAAAAAAAAGTAAATCAACTGATCATTCATCTCTTGCTGGGCTGCCACGTGCATATTACATAACACACATTTCACCTCACTTCAAACCTGGATTTAGATTGAATAATTACCCCAGACACAACAAATGCCAAATGGGAACCTTTGTCAGGTAATCTAAGTGGTGCTACCACTAATTGTACCTGTAATAAATTCATTAACTGAGCATCAAGTGAATGACGGCAAATACACAAGTGTAGGGTTATACGAGAAAACGTGGATGACAACAAGGGAGTAGTAATCGTATTATCGACGCAAGCCGAAATCCGAAAATGCTTTCACTGCATGGATATGTTCTTTTTTTCTGTTTGTTTAGGCTGAAGAAATGAATTAACATGCGCCCTTTGTCGAAATCTTTATAGATCCAAGTTAACCAATCAGTGTTCAAAAATGCGTAAAACAAATATTGCCTCCAGCCTCCAAGTTTATTTAGCTGTCCTTGCAGACGGTACCCCAGTCTCTGGTCACGCTCAGTTGCGTTGCGTATCATCCGGGTACTCACGGGGGAAAAACAATAACAAAGGCAACAACCAGTCCGTTAGATCAGTGCCCCTTTAACCGGTCTATATTTTGTAAGAATAAACTATTGCGCACTGAGCGATTAACTCCTTTAGCTATAGGCGTAGTATAGAGCTTTATTAAGCACTGACCTTGCAATGCTGTACATCGTATCTTATTCAAGCTGTATCACTGAGAGTGAGTGATTATCTCCCTTATCCGAACAGCTCTATTGCGCACTACCTTTGCAATGTATCGTACGTTATTCAGGCAGATATCAAGAACGGTTCCACGGAGGAATTTAAGTCAAGCCTATCAAATATCATGCGCACTCAATCTTTCAACTTCACATTGCTGTTGCAACATATTGTTCAACAGGATTAAATACCAGTTCTATAAAGTATGACTTTGTTCAATAAATAACACATGTAAAACAACGGGTTTGATATGAGAAATTTGTAATTGGTTGTCTTCATATTCACATGTATGTCCCTTGCTGTGCATAGTTGAGCACAGTATTGTTTCAAATAGTTCACTGTATGTAATGTATGATTCATACCGTTTCATGCGGCGGTTTACGGTTCTGCATAGTTTATTGCTTTGACAGTTGTTTTAACTTCCGGCAGAGATTATACACCCGTATTTGTTCTTTGCTTCTGGATACATAAGATATCAACAGGTTGGTCTAAAGTTTGCAATTATTTTCCTAAAAGATAATACGGTTGCATGATATCTTCACGATGTTTGGGTTGAACATAGTAACATTCTTCTAAACATACTTCAAATCTAAACCGAAAGCAATCACAACACAAACCCAGTTAACCAAACGGAACTGTACACAAGAGTGAGTGATCGAGGGAGTTGGGTTTAACATCGTTGAAAAATATTCCGTGTCACCTTGATGTGGGAGGAAAGTCCAAAGGAATGCAGGCCTTAGGCGTTCACCGCTTTGGTGAAACCAACGAACACGGGTTTTGCTGACAACAAAATCGGGGCGAACCGGGATTCAAACACACTGGGGGCACGGGTGGCCCAGTCGTCTTAGGCGCCGTGATTCGCTCTGCAGAGTTGCGTCCCTTGGGCACACCAGAAACCTATGATTGTGGGTTCGAATCTCAGTTGGCCCCGATTATGTTTCGGCGACTGGGCCAACAGTGCCCCCGTACACAACTGTAAGAAACTATCATACAACAAAGATGTTTTAGATGAGATATGTATTGCGGAACATTCAATGAAGAAACAGTGGCAATATTACACTATCACAAACTACAAAATACATGCACAATAAACGACAATTAAAAAACACAGGTACATTCAACATACACAGGAGGTACATTATAACAATTCTATTTCAAAACAAGTGTATTATAATGATATGGAAACTATGAGAATT